AAGAAGCAAAATCCAACAATATGCTGCATACAAGAAACACACTTAATTCAAAAAGAAACTCATGGACTGAAAGTTAAAGGGTGGAAAACAATACTCCATGTGACAGGAACCCGACAAAAAGCAGGAGTAGTTATCCTCTTTGCAGACCAAGTGGATTTCAAACCCACACTGATTAAGAGAGACAAAGAAGGACACTACATCCTTGTAAAGGAAACAAGTTAAGGGGAAGAGATGACAATCATAAATACCTATGTACCAACACTAGTGCACCCAACTATGTAAAACAAATACAGACTAGTTATCTGAAAAATACTAACAGACTAGTTATTTGAAAAATCAAATAAGCACTAATGCAGTAGTAGTAGGGGACCTCAATACCCCACTGTCACAAATAGATAGATCAACTAGACAAAAAATAAGCAACAAAATACTAGAACTCAAACTCTTGAACAAATGAACTCAACAAATGTTTACAGAGTGTTCCACCCTGAAAAATCAGAATACACATTCTTTTCAGCTGCACATGGGTCGTTCTCCAAAATAGACTACATACTCGCTCATAGAACATACTGAGGTAAGTGCAAAGGAACTGAAGTTATCCAGTTTATATTATCAGACCATACTGCGATGAAACTGGAGATCAATAGCAAAAGAAACCACAAAAATTTCCTAAACACATGGAAATTGAACAACACACTTCTCAATAACCAATGGGTCATACAGGAAATTAAAGAAGAAATCAGACAGTTCCTTCAATTAAATGACAATGACAATAAAACATATCGGAATTTATGGGATACAATGAAAGCAGTCTTACAAGGTAAATTTATAGCAGTGAAGACTCATATTAGGAAAACAGAGCGAGCCCAATTAAACAACCTGATGCTGAACCTCAGGCTTCTGGAAAAGAAGAACAGGACAAACCCAAAGCTCATAGAAAGGAGGAAATTATAAAGATCAGGGCAGAAATCAATGCAATGGAGACTAAGAGAATGGTACAAAAAAAAAAACCAATGAAGTCAAGAGTTGGTTCTTTAAAAGAATAAACAAAGTTGACAAACCCTTAGCCAACCTTATCAGAAAAAGGAAAGAAAAGGCTCAAATCCATGCAATTAGGAATGAAAAGGGTGAAATTAAAGCAGACCCAACAGAAATCCAGAGGATGATTAATACCTACTTTGAGAACCTATATGCCAATAAGATCAAAAACACAGAAGAAATGAACAGATTCCTAGACATGTGTGAATTACCAAAGTTGAGTGAAGAAGACCTAACAATTCTAAACAACCCAATATCAACCAATGAAATTGAAAATGTAATTAAAAACTTACCAACTAAGAAAGGCCCGGGTCCTGATGGCTTCAACACTGAATTCTACAAGACATTTAGAGAGGAACTACTGCCAGTACTGTTTAAACTCTTCAATGAAACTGAAAGGGAAGCAATACTCCCGAATTCATTCCTGGAAACAAGCATCACCATGATCCCCAAAGCAGAGAAAGACCCAACTGAAAAAGAGAACTATTAGGCCAATCTCACTAATGAACACAGATGGAAAAATCCTTAATAAGATACTGGAAAATTGAATGCAGAAGATCATCAAGAAGATCATACACCCTGACCAAGTGGGATTCATCCCAGGGATGCAGGGATGGTTTAACATGCGCAAATCAATGAATGTAATACACTCTAACCATAGAGCCAAGGACAAAAACCACATGACCATCTCAATAGATGCAGAAAAAGCATTTCACAAAATCCAACACACATTTATGATAAAAACCCTACACATAATTGGAATACACGGTCTCTACCTCAACCTGATAAAAGCCATTTATAAAAAACCAACAGAGAATACCACACTGAATGGTCAAAACTGAAATCCTTCACACTAAAATCAGGAACAAGACAAGGATGTCCACTATCACCACTCCTGTTCAATATAGTTTTGGAAAC